AGAAACACTAAACTGGGCATTTTATTTCTGTTTTTGAATTGATAAAAACATGGACTGAAGGATGATAAGTTATTTATTAACAATGTACACAGTTTGTATATATAATAAAGAGTTCTGGAGAACATGTTTAATTTTTATTCAATAAAGATACTAAAAGGTCAGCAGTCACTGTTTATATAGGTATTTCAGTAGTCCACACGACAAATTTTATATGAAAATATCATTATATAATATCTCCCCACTTGGTGGCACCAAAAAATTAAACTGTTTATGAAGGCCTTTGTGCCGAAGGTTCTAATGAACTTTTGGAAAGGCAAATTCACTTTCAATTTAAGGGTAAAAGAATAGGTAATATATAATATCCTGCCTGAAATTTTTCTCCCTACAACTTAATGTTAAATGATGTAACTATTCTTTAAGACAAAGTGTAGTGGCCCTAATTTTATTAAAAGTTTAGTCAACTAGCTTTTTCAACTGACCAATAATGCATGTGTAAGAAATCCATACTTGACTAGGACACAAAGTATAAAAACTTCTCTAGAATCTCAAAAGTTAGTTTATGGATTCTATAACAGATATGAATGAAATTGTTGACATAGTGGGTTATGCATTGAGCGCTAACCACAAGGTGGCTATTCAAACCCATCAGTGGCTCCTCAGGAAAAATTGGGACTGCCTATTCCTGTAAAGGTTTTACGTCTCTGCAACCCACAGGGGTAGTTCTACTCTGTGGCAGTGAGTTTATAATGAACTTTACTGACTCTTAATTCTATGTATCCAAGGTCAGGAAGAGCTTGATAGTACAGTGGTTACGAGTGAACTGCTAACCGCAAAGTCAGCAGTTCAAAACCAGTAGCCACTGTGTGGGAGAAAAACGAGGCTTCTGCTCCCATAGTTCATATTGTAGACTCTCAGGGGCAGTTCTACTCTGTCCTATAGAGTCTCCATGAATTGGCAAGGACGCGATGGCAGTAAGTTTGGTTTTGGTACTCAGGTCAAACTGCTCTAGCATGAACTTCCCATTTCTGGCCTTTTAATCAAAGGTAAACATTTTCTATTTCACAAGTATATTCACTATCATGTTCCACCATATAAAAGGTCTGATTCTTAAATTTCTCATGAAAATTTTGCATTCCTCTAACTCTAAGGAGATATGATAACTAGTACTATTAACAATAAAACCACCTCCCTACAAATTGTTATTTTTCAACCAGCTAGTTGACTAGGGCACTTTCTAAAAGCACAAGTTGCATGATTTGTGCTGTAGTTATTAGCAAATATTAGATACTCTTTCCCTAACATCCTTCTGTGATCTCACTCCAAAAATAATTTCCAGTCTGAAATAAAGTCTTTATATGGGATCATATTACTCTTTCATTCAAAACTTTCCAATAGTTTCTCATTTCAATCACAGTAAAATCTAAAATCCTATCCTTAATCTATGCAACCCTACGTGGTAACTGGCCACCTTTCATCTCAACTTCTTCAATCCCAACAGCCATCATATTAACTGAGTTCCAGTTACACTGGCTTTGTCTCCATTCTTTTATCTAAACATAGCATAAATGTAGTTACCGCAAGATCTCTGTGCCTTCTCTATCCTCATGACTGGGCTCTTTTATTAAGTCTTTGTTCAGATGTTCAAAGCCACTACTAACTTCTACAGTCGTCACCCTCCCTTTTCACTCATGTCTCTTCTTAACATCTACTATATGCTTCTGTTGGGAGACAATTCTGCAAAGGTCTCTTGTTTCTCTATGTCTTACAAGTAAGGTACTAATTATATTTTTATTCAAAACTACAGCCAGGATTATGCACCCCACCCCACCAAATTGGCTGGGTCATACATAACTCTCTGTGGTTTGGCAGTTATGTAATGATGTGATTTAGCAGGTAACAACTATGTACTCAAGAGCTCTGGTGGTATAGTGGTTACACACTTGGCTGAAATTCACGTGGTCGGGAGTTTGAAACCACCAGCAGCTCTGTGGGACAAAGACTAGGTTTTCAACTCCAGAAAACAGTTTCAGTCTTGGAAACCAACAGGGGGTTGCTATGAGTCAGCACGGACTCAATGGCAGTGGGAAATCTGTAATCACCTCTTTGATGTGATCTCATCAGCCAATAAATGGTAAGGAGATTAGGCGGCAAGACTCTTACTCAGGTGAAACCTATGATACAAGGCGAGGAGAATTTTCCTTGGGTGTTGTCTGCACAGTCTTTTGTCTTCTGTAAAATAGAACTCAAGGTAAGATTGCTGAGGGGAGACTCTACTACCACCAAGAAAGAAGGGACAGGCGCAGAGTCCATCCTTTGGGCCTATGGTCTCCGAGCTGGTAACTTCCTTTTGATAGTTAGGTTTATGTCAACTTCCTGGACCAGGATTCTTAAAGGTTTGTCAGTTAACACTTAGCAATCCCCAGGACGTGACCGAACACAATGTAATAACTCCTTAATGGGATCTCCTATGAATAAACCACCAATTTTAAGATTAGGGTGAGATACAACACCCTTACTCAAGCTACAACCCTGATGCAGATGTAAGGAAGTTTACTTGCGGGTATGGCCTGCTTACTATATACAGTATAGTTGGGACGCTGTGGAAAAACTTACTTGCTTTCTGCTGGGTCTTACTTCTGCATTTGGCTTATCGAGTGCCAGTTCTTTAGATTTCAGCCAACAGCCTGCTACCTAGCCTGCCAATCCTGGAAGTCATCAGCGACCTGTCATCTGACCTGTTGATCTTGAATTCATTTGAGTCTGGAGTAAACTGAGCTACTTGAGTCTGGAGTAAACTGCAGCCTATCCCCCGGACGTGGAACCTGCCTGGATTTTGGACTTGCTTACTTCCACAACTGTGTGAGCCATTTTCTTTATACAAATTTCCTTCACACACACACACACACACAAACACACACAATACATACATATAAGCATCACTGATTTTGCTTCTCTAGATGCCAAGACACATGGGGATATGCAAGGATTGCCAGCCCACAGATGTTGAAAGGAGACAAAGACATTCCCCACCACACCCCCGAGAGAAAACAGAGACTAAAAACCTTCTGCTGAAGCTGGCTTCATGAATTTGGACTTCTAGTATCTGAAACTGTTATGTAATATATTTGTTTTTAAAAGCCAGTCATTTTTGGCCTTTCTATTACAGCAGCACTATAATCTTTTCAAGGTTGTTTGTATAACAAACAGCCTTAGAAAATAGAAATTACATCTTCTCCCAGAGAAAGAAATGGCATGCTTTAAACTACTGTCCATTGCAGAAGATTCTCTTTTCCTAAACTTAAAATTCCTCTCCTATAACGCAGGTCACTGAGTGTGTCACCTGGTGCTCGGCAGATGGCCTGATGGCAATCACAAGAAAATGCTGAGACTCTGTCTACCACGATTGCTCTGAGTAATAAAGTTCTTTATCTATGATCCAAAGAAGTCTTGTATCTTCAGTCACAGTCCATAAACTTATGGTAGATTGAAGGGTAAAAATCTCAAATCCTCCACAGGTTTTGGCACTTTTTTGTTTCCTTTTCCCCCCACTGGTTTCTCCTAATAAACCTTGTGTTGCTGGCTATTTCCTCATTTCCCTGTAGCTCCCAGAGACACTTAACAAACAATATCATTTGACTACCAATTTCTAAGAAGCTTATCACCATCACCACCACCACCCATTTCGTATAAAAGACACTGCCTTCAGTAAAATTAAAAGGCAAATGCAAGAAATACCACAAATTAGTTACAGAATACCAATTAGAACATGGATTAATTACTCATTTGTTAATAATGTGTGTGGCTGTTTCTCAAACTGAAAAACTAGCAAGCTGTACTTATATTCTGGGAGATGGGGAAATAATCACTCATTGATATCAGATGGCAATTTTCACATGTGGAAGTAAATGAAAATAAAACAAAAATGGTAATGAAGAATAAAACTAAGTACCCAAATAAGTACTTAAAAGAGAGACCAATGCATTTATATTTTAGACATATCCCATTAGGCAGTATAACACTTGCATGATTATGTAACAAAATGGGATTCTGTTATTCGACTGAAAGCCCTTTTATGTCTACAGAAAGACCCACTGGAACAGCATGTCCAAGTCATTTCTGTATAAACAGTATGTTCCCTCTTTGCAAGAACCAAGAATGCTCTAATATAAATTCCATCAATCTAAAAATAATTTATAAATTATCAAGGGTTCACGAGGGTGGGATGGTGGGAGAGGAAGGGGGGAAAAGAGGAGCTGATACCAAGTAGAAAAAAAATATTTTGGAAATAATGATGGCACCATATGTATAAACATGCTTGATCCAACTGATGTACCGATTGTTATAAGAGCCGTAAGACCCAGTAAAATGATTTATTAAAATTAAAAAATAAAGAAGGTTCCAGGTACTTTTAAGGCTTCTGGCATAGCTCTCTCGCAGGTGGACAGGTAAGAAGTACTTCTTATTGGCCTTTCTCTCTATAATTTGAGCAAAAGTATAAGAGCTATCTATATATAATTTGATCAGTCATTAATAATTCTTATCTTACCACTTCCAGGGGGGAAAAAGGCTGAAAATCAGCTTCTGAGGATATAGGATTAGATTCTATTGAAGTAACAAATTATATAAAATAACTGGTTTTAAAAGTATTTTATCCCCAAGTATACTAAACCTTCTAAAACAGTAGCAGATACTGATCTATGGTTCAGAGTTTATAATATGCGTATAAATCACTGAGTCCTGTATTGCAAAATATAGACTTCCAGGTTCCCAAGTTACAAAATATCTTAAAACACTTAATTTCACAAATACAGGTATATGACTGTGATTCAGATGTTAAAAATTTACCCTTCTTAGAAAACTCAAGAAAAGTGAAAGAAGGATCAAAATATTAAAGAGGAAAATAAAATTAACTGGAAAACATGCCTAAGGTAAAGGAAAATAAAATTGCTTCATAAAATGATTCTTTCGTTGAAGCTCAATTATCACAATTAGTCACTTACTGTGTAAGTTATAGCTGCCAACATTCCAATCAAGGTGAGTGAACTAATGGAAAAAGACAATGCAGCTAAACCATCTACAAAGAAAAAAAGAAACAGTTAAACCATGAGTTTATATGCATATTTATCTATATACAATGCAAATGTTTATATTCAATGAATCAATATATAAAAATTGGACTCTATACATTCTAAAAGAATAAATCAAATAATATTATCAACATCACTGGAGGGCAAACTCCAATTGGAGAAGATAAAGTTTTTTCCCAAATTGAGTTATAAAACATCTTTTACACAGAGATTTTTTTCTTTTTAAAATCACAAGGAAAATTATTGCCTAATAAGTAAGCTTATAATGAGATTGGCAAAATATCAAGTGTTCGAAAGGTGATAAAAAGATATCCTGAACTTTTTATAATGGCAAATCTTGAGATTACGTGGGAACACCACTGACTTTGAAAATGTCTGCCCCCCTCCTCTAAAATGTTGATTCTTCAAGTTTTTTATTCTAAATGTTCAAGTTATTAATGTTCACAGAAGTTCTAAATAACCTTAACAACCTCTTCATAACCTAAAATTAAAAGTTAATTGAAGATTCTACTTTACTCTTTTAAGTTAAAACCAGCTAGCTTGTCTATAAGGCAGAAAAGTAAAAAGAAAATAAATTCAAATAAAAGATTGATAGCAAGCTAGATTTAGAAAATTATTTCAAGGAGAACCAAGTAGGGAAGCAGGGGTGACCCTTTCAAATAAATATAGCAGAATATATAATGAAATATAACATAAATTTGAATATTCATGAATAAGAATAATACTAATTTTTCTCATTTTAATAGAGGCCCTACTGGGCCTGTATTGATCTGGCATGAATACATATCCTGGGAGCACCAATACAAAGTTTTGATAATATAATAAATTATTAGTTTCATTATCAACATTTAAATTAGAATACTCTCTTCTTAAAAATCATGTTTATATAACACTGTAAAAGAACAAATATGCAAGACAATATTTCTAAAACAATAGTATATTTTAATAAAACAAAGGCATTCTTTTATTAAATATTTTTATTGAGGGCTCTTACATCTCATCACAATCCATACATTCATCCATTGTGTCAAGCACATTTGCACATATGCTGCCATCATCATTTTCAAAGCATTCTCTTCCCACTTGAGCCCCATATCAGGTCCCCATTTCTTCACCCTCCCTGCCCTGACCACCCTCCTTCACGAACTCTTGATAAGTTATTTTCATATCTTACATTGTCCTCTGTTGCCTTTCACCCACTTTTCCGTTGTTCATCCACCCTGGAGGGGGTTATATGTTGATCCTTGTGATTGATTCCCCCTTTCTCCCCCCACCCTCCCCTAATCCTCTTGGTATCTCTACTCTCATTGTTGGCCCTGAAGGGTTTATCTCTCCTGGATTCCCTGTGTTGCCGGCTCTTATATACAGCAGTGCGCATGATCTGGTCTAATCCGATTTATAAGGTAGAATTGAAGTCATGATAGTGGGGGGAAGAAAGCACCAATGAACTAGAGGAAAGTTGTGTGTTTCATTGGTGCTATACTGCACCCACTGGCTCATCTCTTCCCTGTGAGCCCTCTGTGAGGGGATGTCCAATTGTCTACAGATGAGCATTGCGTCTCCACTTCATGTCTCCTCACGCCCCCCCCAATTAACATTGGGTATGATTTTGTTCTGGCTCTTAGATGAGTGATACCTGGTCCCATCAACACCTCATGATCACACAGGCTGCTGTGCTTCTTCCATGTGGGTTTTGTTGCTTCTCAGCGAGTTGGCCACTTATTTATCTTCAAGCCTTTAAGATCCCAGAAGCTATATCTTTTGATAGCCAGGCACCATCAGCTTTCTTCACCATGTTTGCTTATCTACCCATTTTGTCTTCAGTGATCGTGTTGGGAAGATGAGCATCACAGAAAGCCAATTATTAGAACAAAGTGTTCTTGTGTTGAGGGAGTACTTGAATTGAGGCACAATGTCCATCTGCAACCGTAATTCTTAATATATGAGCACGTAGCTCTATTCCCTTCTCATTAATATATATTTACATATGTACATCCTGTATTTAGACTGCTATAAATATCCTTTGCCTCCTGGTTCTTTCCTCTATTTCCTTTTACTTACCTCTTGTTCCACCATCAAGTTCGGCCTTCATTAGGGTTTAGTAATTCCTCGCTGCTACATGGCCCTTGATGAAACCCCACTAGGCATCCTATGGTCTTCTCTCCATTGATTTTAGTTCACTTGTTCCCTTGTCCCTGGGTTGGTTGCCCCCCTCCTTCCTTTCTCCCACCTCTCCTTTTCCTATATACCCCTGGAACCACTGGTGCCGTTCTTTTCATCTCCAAATTGTTTATCGTGTCTATCTTATCTAGATAGACATGGAGAAACATTAATAAGCACAAACACCAGACAAAGCCAAACAAAGCAACAAAGGAAGTCAAGACCAATAAAACAATAAGAAAAAACAAAATCAAAACAAAACAAAAAGTCACTCACAAAAATGGAAAAGCCTATAAATACTTCAAGGTCTGTTTGTTGGCCTTTATGAGTTTTTTCCAGTCAAGTCTGATGGGGTGCCACACTCTGTCTCCAAAGTCTAGTTTTGGTATTCCCTAGGAATTTCATCACTTTGTTCCTCTTGCTGCTCTGCTGCATGTCTTTAGTGTTTCGCCCCAGCGTGCTGGGGTCAGACTGTGCACAGTTCCTGCACTGTTTCTCGAGTGTTGTCCCCTGGAGTGCTATGGTTTATTGAGGGATGTCATGTCTTGTGGTGGGGCTGGCCCTGTGATCCTCTCTGTATGTTGTCTGCTCCAAGCAGGAATATTGTCCTCGGGGTTTGGTGGGTGAGAATGTCCTCCCCTCCCTCTCCATCCCTTTTTGTTTCTACCATGTACTCTAATCAGACTCCCCCCTCTTCCCAAGCTGTAGCCCCAATGCTGTCCTCTGAAGTACATTTTGTGTGTGGGGGGGTCCACATTGTTGGGATTGGGGTCGGTCCCACAGATCTATTGGTTCCCTGGTACATGCTGGTATGTTGTAGACATGTCTTGACGCATTGTGTTGAAGCCTGGTCTCTCTTTCCCTCTCCTGTGGAGATATAAACAATACTCTACCCTTGAGTGGGTTAATGCCGTTGCCCCCCTACACATCTTTTTCTTTTCTCTCTTGTATTTATTTGGATGTCGTATGTATCCCTGAACTGAGTTTGGCCCCTGCCACAATAGCTGGACCTCACCCCAGGGATGGATGCATATACAGTGAACCCTCGCCACTTCGCGCTTCGACTTCCGCGGCTTCACTCTATCGCGGTTTTTGCGTAACAGCACCCACT